GGGATTGGTTCTTCCAACCCTTAGTTTTACTGGTTAAGAGAGCTAGGACCCCTAGCTTATTGTTACAATCCTTAGCCGAAAGGTTAAGAGAGCTAGACTCCCTAGTTTATTGTAGCAATCCTTAATCCATTGATTGAGAGTGCTAAGGTTCCTAGCTTAATCGTTTTCCTTAACCGATTGATTAAGAGAGTGAGGTTTCCTTCACTTGTTGCGCCTTCACTTGTTGCGCCCTCCTACGGTGTATTAACACACCTCCACACATTCGCATTCAATTTTGGAGATAATGATATGTAGCTAGGGGGAGCAATACTCGGGTAGACTCTTCTCTCATTGGGACAACCTCAATTTACTTTTCTTGCTAGTTTTCATTTGTAGTTTTCTTAGTTTTAACCCCAAAAAAGTTTGCTAGATAACAAACTAAGCGCTTGAATTAGGGTACATGGACCGGCCGGGGTTTAACAATTAAAAATACTTGCCCCATACTGCATTCGGCTAGAATTTAAAAACTTGGGCTCTAGTCGGGATTAGTTCTCGGTATAATTTCGAGTGAGTCAATCCCAAGTGTGGAGAAGGGAGGAACCTGGGAGTCTGGCTTGATCGTCGGCCTAGAGTAATTGTGCATTGCTTTAGCATATGGTGGGCCGGTGCAGTAAAAAATACTATTACGTTAGGTATATCAGTTTCCTAAAACCTGAGCATTACTGACAATATTTGCAATCAGATGGAAAGCAGCAAAAGCTCTCACAAGTCCCTAACCGTCAACATGAGAAATCTAAACAACTCACAATGTTAGCCCAAATACAAATAGTAGAGATATTTAGTTAATTTCATGCCTATTTTGTTCTCGAAGAGAACAAAAACAATAAATGGGTTAATTAATAGCCAAGCTACACGACGTTAACCACCAAACGCCCCCTTAACTTATATTTTCTTTTTTTTATGATTTACATTAGTCACACTTACTTCGTTTCATTCACATTCAAGAAGTATAAACTATCGAGATTGCTTAACACCAAAACTATCACTGTCCTAGTGAGTTTCTTAACAATAGAACTAACACTATTACTATCACCTTCCTAGTGAGTTTCTTATCAGTAAAGTGGGTCCAAACCAACAACGCAACACAAAGCTTTACAAGAAACAAACATCGATGTTGTCACACTGACCAAGACTAGATAAGATCAACAAGCACACCCTCCTTACTGGGTTTGGGCTTGAGACGCGTTTGTGTTCGAAGACTTGAGGTTCACGTCAACCATATCCTCTTGCTTAGATGATGAAAGTGTCTCCATCCTTGGCAGGGCAGACGCAATCTTTCAAAACAACGGCTGAATGACACAACAATATATGGACAAAGAACCAACGACTTAAAGCCCAATTGACTACTTACTTACCTCTATATTGAAAGCCTGCTTTTGTGCTGTTTTCAATGAACATTATGTTCATCTCACGAGCTTTAAACTCACCTTCTTCTATTCAGACTTCCCTATAAGAAAACTAAAATTTAATGAATCAAAAGCAATCTTTTCTAGTCAAATCCTGTTACAGAAAATGATCTCCTCTTTTCAACAAGATCAGTCTTACTCCCAACCAGTACAATTCTAACATCGTTGCCTTGTTTAGTGTAGACCTCTTCAATCCACTTAGAAGTGAAGGGTCATTTTTCCTAGGTCCACTACTTTCCAGTATCCCAACTCGGAACTAGAGCTCTCACCAAAGGAGCTAGGAGGTATCTTGTGCATTGGTTGTCCTCGTAAGTTGCTAAAATGACCTAGAAAGTCCTCTGTCGATGATCGTGGTTGTATGTTGCTATAAAGGTATGGTGAGTTGCATTAGTTTGAGACAGGTTTGCTTGGGGAGAAGCAAACAGTTATGTGTTTTAGAATTTGATAACACTGAATTTTCACATGTTTTTTCGATTCTTGATCGTTTAACCTTGTATTATCGCTCATGTGGTCTATTTTATGCTAGGTTGTGCTTGTTTATGATGTTTCAGGTCCTAGTACGTAAATGAGTGTTAGGGAGAAAGTTTTGAGACAATTTGGAACGACCCGACAGAGGATCAAGGGAAACTTACGCCCATGCTTCCAAATTTACGGCGTGGCCCGTAACTTCCTAATCAAGCACGTAAGATCAAGAAAAAGAAGCAGGAGGCCACTTCAAAGTTATGGCTCAGGTGTCAAAGTTGTGGCGTTGACCGTAACTCTTTATTTACGGTGCATAGACACGTCGACGTTTTGGTGGGAGTTATGGATTGGAGAAGCTAGTTAAACTCGCGAATCTTCAGCGTATAAAGGGTGACTCGGGAAAATTGAGAAGGGTCCAATTTTTACCTTTGAGAAAATAGAGCTTTACAAAGAGAAAGTGATGAAGAACAACCCTCGGGGAGTCGATTTGAGCCACCAAAAACCACTTGAGCTCGATTCCTTCCTTATGGAGTACCGATTGACAATCTGAAGATGATTCCTCGCATCTACACGATGATGGCCTTCTCAAGCAATGCATTTTCTTCTCTCTCCATGGAGTAATCTCCTCTTCCACTTGGGTATGAACAACCGTACGACTGTATGTTAGGAGCAGTTGTATGAACCCATTTCTATTACATTGATGATTATATATTCAAATGAGCCATTATTCAAAAATCTATGAGTTTTGATCAAACTTGTATGTTTCCATATTTGACCTAGAACGATAGTCTCTGAATAGGTCAATAGAGCAACCTAAATTGGAAGTAGTGAATTGATTGTGCGAGAGTCAATCGATTCACTGCTTTGTACTAGGATTCTTTCCAGTAGAGGAGATTTATGTTTACTGCCTTAGCATTTTATCCAGGTAGAGGTTAGTTGCTCGCCGGGTACTACGTCTAACAGAGCTTGGTCAGCTTGAGATTCCAAGCTAGTTTCAGATTTTCCGCAGTATAAATATCAATTGAATTGAATTGGGTGAATTACAACTTGACTTAAATGCAGACTAGGGGGAATCATTACCTGAGTGGTTCTTTATTGAACTTGAAAAGCAGAAGATTTGCTTGCTTTCTTTATGCCTTTTTTTTACAATCAACTTCACCCAATTTCGAACCCCAGATTAGAATTTCAATGAGTAACCAGTACACCTAAGACTCGGGTTGACATTTAGAATTTGAACCACTATACTACATTCCTAGGTTGCGACTACACTAGGTTTAATTTAGTTGTGTTGGTGGCGTGTCAAATGGCAACAAGCATAGAAAGCCTCTGCAATTTGAAGCTAGAGAGGTCCCTTCCAAGTGATTTTGAAGGTTGGTAGTAATGCCTACAAGATTGATTTACCAGGAGAGTATGGGATAAGTGCAACCCTCAACTTTCATGATCCTGCATAATATTTGGATGGTCACTCAGATTTGAGGGAAAATCATTTTCAAGAGGGAGAGACTGAAAAGGTCATCAAGACCAAGACTACTACACCAAAGAATGTCCTCTTACATGTTCAAAGGCCAAGAAGTTAAAGGGAACAATATGCAAATTACTTGAGCAACTATTTTGCTAGCATGGACGTGGATCTACTTAAAGGGAGCCCATAATGATGTTGCAATTCATTGAAGAAGATCGTGTGATGGGCTTGGAGGAAGGTGGCAGCAATGGATTGAATGAAGGGATTTTGTGGACTCCTTAGACCAAAAGAATTATCATGTCCTTAGCGTAGAAGGAATGAAGACTTAATCAAATCCTTTGTGGAATGGGACTTGTAATTTTCTGATTTATTTGTTTTCTTTCTAAAGTTATTTTGCTTTCGTTGTTAGTTTTGGATTTAGATTATGTAGGCTATTTAAAGGGGCCAAATTTCATTATAATGGAAATCAAGTTTTCAACAATCAATTGAAGGGTTAATTCTTGTGTTCCTTAGTGAACATTTTGCCCAAATATTCTGTCAAGGAATCCAGGAGTTTGTGCTTTTCTTATCAACTAAAAGATCACATCTAATTGTGGCGAGTTATACCCAAATGGGTTAACCCTTCTCATAAGTTGAGATTGTTTGCCGATTTATCGTTGTTATCCTTTGTTTTGAGTGAAGTTTTGAGAAGATAGAATTTGGATGCGTACATTGATAGCCTTTGAATCCAGGAGTTCGAGCCTTGATTCATATAAAACAAACATTTCTCTCTGTCCAAATGTTCCAAATAATAGTCATACACCAAAAACGAAGAGGGATTTGTTGCACAATATCGTCGTCACTCTGTTCAAGCAATTCCTTTAACCAACTCTGAATATCCATAGAGACAGAGCTAACTGCCCACTGTAATTCGGCAAAACGACAATCTCTAATAGCAATGAGAGGTTGTTATGATACATCTAACAATGATACCCATCAAATGAGCCATGTTCTTGGATAAACAAGATAGTGGCTAAATGTTTGGGCAATCCCATTGAATGATACATCTAATGTTGTATTGCTTGCGAAGAAGGCTCAAAATAGAGGTTGGATGTTTTGAAATACATTACACACTATATGCATAAAAAATTGTAATAAACTGTGTAATGGAGCCAACCTGCAGACCAACCACAAATCAAGCTAGATAAAGGTTTTGCGACTTATTACCTCTCAGTGATCTCCTTCTCGTGTCAAGTAGTGGAAGGAGGGGTTGGTTTAAACACAACTTTAGAAAAACTCCACCAAATCTTGAAACTTATCCACCCGAAAGAGGCATTCACTCATCATATGTGATTATGCATTTCAAACTCTAGTACTTCTCGAGCACAAAAGCCAAATTTGAGGGCGATCTAACTCTAGTACTCAATCTTGAGAGCAAGGTTGCTTTCCAAAGGAAAATGAATGATAGATTATGCATGTGTTTTGGAATTGGATATTTGGTTGTGCATTTCAATTTAGTACTTTTAGGGTTATATGGGAGTTATTTAATTATTTCGAAATAGGATAAAAGTACGGTTATGGTAATTGTCAGAGTAATAAATATTTTATAAGTGCAATTTACACAGTAATTTTTTTGAATAATCAGAATTCAACCCTAAACCTATTTTCTCTCTTTCTTGGCTACCGCCACCCTCCCCTCTTCTTCCTCGGTTTCTTCTTTCAATTCTAATTCCCAAACCTCTTTTCCAATCCCTAGGAAGATCCATCCCTAATTGATCTCTCATTCCCAATTCTTTAACCCGACCCCTTTAACCCAACCCCGCTGAGATTGAGATCAGGGTTCTATCAGGAAAAGAGTCCAACCTTACATACAATAAGCAAAACAAAACAACATTATTGACTAGAAAGCCTTCTTATCTTCGTAAACGTATAACCTGAACAGCAAACTGTCCTTAATTTGATAACACTAATCGCTAGTAGTAAGAAGTTCGAGCACAAAAAAAGCAGAACACAACCGCAATATATATATTAAATAATAGGAGGAAACAAAATGGGGAGCACAAGCTTCTGGGTGCTTTACAGAGACTGAATAACGACCACCAGCCATACAAAACCAGTACCTCAACAAGCACATCCTCCTGACTGGCCTTGGGCCTGGGATGCATTCGTATTTGAGGACTTAAGATTCACATCAACCATATCTTCTTGCTTTGTTGATGAAAGTGTTTCCATCCCTGGCAGTGCTGCTGCAATCTTTCTAAACAGGGCCTGAACAAACAATTGTGCCAGAAAATAAGGATCATATTGGAAAGGGTTACCAACTGCTACTCCATCAAGTCCCTCTGATATGAGACACAACCGTACCTTAATATTAAAGCCTGCCTTAGCGCTGGTTTCAATAAACATGACATTCAGCTCACGAGCTTTAGCTTCTCCTTCCTCTACCGAGACTTGCCTGTCATTTCACCAGAATTTGAATCCATAATAATTTAAGCAACCACAATCCAAAAGGATGCAACTGCAAGAATATAAGCTTCTCTTCACTTCCCTCCTACCAACCCCAGACAAGAAGTTAATTTACCTCATTTCTGAAGTAGTGTTTAATTACTAAACTGGTTTACAAGGGAAAGAGAGAGAGAGAGAGAGAGAGAGAGAACACTTTCAAATACCCTAATCCTTCACTAACTTGATGTAACATATGCAAACCAAATTAAAGCATCCATTGTTAGGGAACATGTGCCATGCAAATTAAGATTCTCGAGGGAGGGGCCACAATATAGAGTCATACAGTCCAACCATTTGAAAACCTAGCAGGCTGCACGCAAATCAGGAAGCAATCCTTTCAAAAATAATTCCTAACACACACACAAACCATCACCTTTTGTCTACAAGATCAGTCTTGTTTCCAACCAATACAATAATAACATCGCTTCCCCGCTCAGTACGCACCTCTTCGATCCACTTAGATGTGTTCATAAATGAATGCCTACCTAAACCGCAGAAAAGGGCACAGATGTCAAATGAATTAGCAGGCAGCATACAGGGGAAGGTGAAGGCTACAATGCCCAAGGAAGTGGCAATTGCATGTGCCACAGGAGAGATGATAGAATGAGTTATTAGACACAAAATAAATTTTTCATGAAGGAGAAAGGGAGTAGCAGAAGCAAATAAGAAACAACATACTTGCAACATCATAAACAATGACTGCCACAGAGGAATCCCTTATATAGCTTGGAATGAGGCTCCTGAACCGTTCCTGTCCTGCAGTGTCCCTGTAAATATAAATTTTCTCATTTTGAAGAACGTCCACTGACTGTGAAGAGAAGTCTCAGCAATTGTTATTGTCAATCATCTTGCAAAAAAAGAGATTTTCAAGGCTGCTTAGGATTCATAAGCAGTTTATTAGAGGTTCTCAGCAAGTCTATGTAACGTCAGTAAGCTATTGCTAAGTCCCATTAGGAATTTTTGAGTCCTGACAATTAACAACACTATGTAAGGAACTATTATGCGGGTGGACATTTTCGATCGCATTACGAGTGCTAAACAAGGAAATACCTAAAATAAGCATCCGAAGTTGCTTTCTCTCTAACCAAGAAAGACTCAAGTTTTGAAGTACGAACTCCTTGTCCTTCAAAATGCAGTATACTTAAGACCATTAGTCCATTACATAAGAACATCATAGAAATCAGGTTACGTACAATGTATACATGCATTATGCACACTTTTTGCAAGTGCACAGCACCAGAACTTGCATAAAACAAATAAGGGGAATAGTGCATTAATCTGAAAGCTACAGTCAGGATGATGAAGGTAAGGTTTCATAAATGGATAAATTCCTTGACGAAAAAACAGGAGTTGCAATATATAGATTATAAGTATCTAAAATAGGGTATGTCAATGAAGGAAATATCTAGCAGAATGAATGTCACATGAACAAGTCTTAACTATTAATATCCAAAACCTCACCATAGCTGCAATCTAACAGTTCTATCTTCAAGGTACATCGTCTTTGAGAGAAAATCAATACCAATGGTAGCCTGGTTATCAAGAAAATGTCCGATAAAATTAGAATAAAAGAATCGTATTACACAAACAATATCCAGTTTGCTCAGATCTAAAGTTAATCACTTGAACAATTAACTTAACTCAAATAGTTAAGGTGAAAATGCTAGTTCTAGGTCAGAGTGATTCATCGTAGTAGCAAGCACCCCTAACTTCAATCCTAGAGATAATAAGTTCAAATTAAACATGGGCAGGGAGCAAAACGGAGATGGGGCTGGGAGGATTATCCTTTCTTTGCCAATCAGAATCAAAATGGAACAAAACAAACAAGCAGGCATTGAATCACATGACACCATAACAAGCATTGAATCACCGATTTACCAATCAGTCCGTGTAAGCGATGTTATTGGTCACCTACAAAGTTAATGACACTGCTCATGCTAACACGCTAAACAGCTACTGACCTTCGAATCATTAGGCTTGAGTACCTAGAAAACTGCGAATCACCATCCAAATTCTCTAACGGAATTCTAAGCAGGCGAGTTACTCCCTAAGAGTCAAAACTCAAATGAGCAAAAACAGCTAGCCTAGAAAGCACCGGAGAAAAGAAACAAACCGCAACTCTACACGCACCAGATCGGGTGGATCAGAGTTCAGAGACGATCTAAATCATGAAATAAACAGGCAGCGCATAATTGGTAACCATTAGCAGTGTGCAACATTCAAATGAACCGAACAAATCAGATCCACGCAAGTAACGAGAACCACAGTTCCGATCGGATCAAACAGGGAGATATGATGCAACCAATTGAAAATTTCGCTCCAGATCGAGCCAGAAATTACCTGATAAGTATTGTCGAACTTATCGTACATGAAGCGAGTGATGATACTGGTTTTACCCACAGACTGATCACCCAAGAATACCAGCTTGTACTTGGCCAGAGCCGAAACTGGAGCCATTATTCCACGCTATCGGACCGAGAATATTTCAGAATTGCAGACCCCGCCGGCAATTGTATGACACTGATGCCGGCTGAGAGATCGACGGAAAAAATCAAGATCCTGATCTCCAGAGAAAAAAAGTAACGCTGTTAATCGGGGATGCACCGAGCTGTTGACTTGGGAGTTTTTATGGGAGGCACGCACACTTATAGGCTGGCAATCGGTTCGATTTGATTATAATCGAAAATGTTTAGTCGGTTAATCGTTAAGGAGTTTGTGGTTATTGTTAACCGTATCATTTAGATTAGTCGATTAACTGTAATTATGTAGTCGGTTAATCGGATAACAGTTAAGCAAATGATTCAACAAGATTATACTAAAATAATCGATCGGTAACCTAACCAACAAAAGACCTACTTTTTTTTTCAACTGTTCATTTTTGTAGATTTTTTTCCTACATATCGTGTGTGTGTGTATATATATAGTTCAGATTAGCGTACGCTAGGTGTACGTTGTATGCCAGCGTTCACACTATTGTACGTCCGTCGAGTTTTACTATTTAGAGCACGAATTAATCAGAGATTGATACATGATACTATACCCTAATCTCTAATGGGTGAACCCTAATCCCGAATTCTCTAACCCGAGCCACAAAATTCATTTAATCTAAAAAATAATAATTGATTGTTCTAATTCAGCGAAATATATTGAAATGCAAATAACAAGTGTGAACACGGGCGTATAGCGTACGTCAGGTATACGTTGTACGCCTGCGTTCACAATATCGTACGTTGGTCGAGTTTTACTATTTAGAACGCGAATTAATGGTCGAGCCACATAGATCCGTGACGTGCATCTTGGCTTCGTGTATCATTTCCTCCTGTGGTACCTCATCTCGGCCGGGAGGTGGAGTCCTACATCGTGATGGTTGGTCTTATAAGACTCGACAGTTCGTGCACGCATGTGCGAATGTGATAGTGGATGAGGACGAACTGGATAGTTCGAGGTCAGAGATTGGGAGTGAGAATTTGTTCGAATTTGACGGGTCTTAATGGTCAACATTCATGGTTAAGAGGTTTGACCTCCACATGTTCGTTAAATTGAAAATGAAACTCTGTTCCTTCTTCCGTTCAGGGTTTCAGTAGCATCCCCACGATAGTTTAAGAGGTCTAGGTATGTTGTCCATTGTAGCTTAATGTAGTGAAATAATTATTTGTTGCAGGGAGGGTTTCGGTAATAACTTATCCGACAGGATCCCAAGGGAGTTTGGAAATTTGAGGGCATTGGTGAGCTTGGATCGTTACTTGAAGAACTTGACCATCGTCCGATTCCAGTAACTCCGGAGAGGCTTTAAAAAGAAGAAGGTCGGTTCATCTGTTTGTTTTGGTGATCATGTGCATTCTTCCTATTATTTGTGACCATAATTGCTTTTGTTGTTTATGTTTTTTACCTAGATTGGCAGAACAATTTACCACTCTAGCAATGACTCTCCACCTCAGCACGGTATCATTATCTTCCACCGTTTCTCTTTTAAGGAAGGGATTATAGTTAAAGCCGTGAATGGTGCGGAGGATATTTAGTTTTTTTCTTCGTTTTATAATAGAGGAATGTGTTTGACCATGGAAAGAACCAAGGATAACATAGTAATTATGGGGCTCCGATCTGAACTCCCTCGCTTGATCTCTTTGGGAGTGGAAGAACTTGTGAGGAGGAGGGGCGGACCTCATGATCTACGCTTCGACACCCAAATTAGTATGATATAGAGAATAGTGGTAGGTGAATGTAGAGAGAGAGAGAGAGAGAACCGTAGGTGGAAAGTGTGGGAAGGGAAGGAAGAGAGGATCCCTTGGTTTGGAGGCTTTGGCCTCCTTATATAGGATTTGAGCCTCCTTGAGTGGGCTTGGACCCAATAATAGTCGTTTGTCATAGGCGGATTAATACCACACCTAACAAGCGCCCTTTTACTTCTTGTATTCTGCAAGAATGGAAAGAGTAATATAATGTGTCAATCATATATTAATTTGCCTTACTTGCGAGTCCGAACAATGCATTTCACTAAATTGCTTATCTTTCGATGTCTTGAATGAGAGCTCTCAAGTCGTTAAGATTTCCTTCGCCAGTCCATTGCTATTAGCGCTAGTAGACTATAACTGCGGGCTAGGTAGGGTGGCCCCACGACTTGAGAGTTTTAACTCAAGACGCTCTTGTGTCTCTCCAATGTCACGTCCATGTGTGCCGAGAGCTTATGTATCTTGCCAATGTCCTGCCTGTGTGAGGCGGCATCAAGTTCTCCCTTCTTGTCGAAGTTGCCCCTACTAGGAGGCGTTCTGTCTTGTAGTCTATTGGGGGTGTTCCGTCTTTCCGACCTTTGGAGAGCATTCTTTCTTTCTGAGAAGCGCTTTTAGCCTTCATGCTTTCTAGAAAGTTTAGTCTTTCAGTTTTCTGGGAAGCGCTTTAGTTTCCGCTTCTGAGAAGCGCATTAGTATTTCGGCTGCCTGGAAAGTGCTTTAGTCTTCTGCTTTTGAGAAGCGCTTTAGTGTTCGGCTTCTTGGGAAGCTCATTAGTCTTTCGGCTTCCTGGGAAGCGCTTTAGTCTTTTGTTTCTAAGAAGCACACTATCTTTCGGCTTCCTGGAAAGTGCCTTAGTTTTTTTGCTTTCTTAGAAGCGCTTTAGTCTTCCGCTTCTGATAAGCGCATTAGTCTTTTGGCTTTCTGGCAAGCGCCTTCCTGGAAAGGGCCTTAGTCTTTTGGCTGTCTAGAAAGCGCCTTAGTCTTTCGGCTTCCTGGGATACGCTTTAGTCTTTCGCTTTTGAGAAACACATTAGTCTTTCAGCTTTCTGGTAAGCGCCATAGCCTTTCAGTTTTGAGAAGCGCACTTTCTTTCGGTTTCCAGGAAAGTGCCTTAGTTTTTGGGCTTTTTGAGAAGTGCTCTAATCTTCCGCTTTTGATAAGCGCAATAGTCTTTCGACTTTTTGGGAAGCGCCTTAGTCTTTCGGCTTCCTAGGAAGCGCTTTAGTCTTCCGCTTTTGAGAAACACATTAGTCTTTCGGCTTTCTGGGAAGCACCGTAGTCTTTTGACTTTCCGAGAAGCGCTTTAGTCCTTCAGCTTCCTGGGAAGCGTTTTAGTATATTGGAAATATTTTATCTTATCGCTCGGGAGAGGTTGTTAGATAGTGAGCGATTTCTAGCTTATCGCTCAGGGTGGTTTAGCATGCTCAAGCAATTTTGAATTTCACCCGAAGGTGTTCGGATTTGCGAACCAATTTTTAGTCTATCGCTCTGGGGGCGATTTAGACTTAGGGATATTTTATCTTATCGCTCGGGGGAGGTTGTTAGATAGTGAGCGATTTCTAGCCTATCGCTCACGGTTGTTTAGCGTGCTCAAGCAATTTTGAAGTTCACCCGAAGGTGGTTGGATTTGCGAACCAACTTTTACTCTATCACTCTGGGGCGGTTTAGACTGGTGATATCTTACTCATCACTCGGGGGCGGGAAGCATTACTCGGGGGGGGGGGGGGGGGGGGGGACATCGCTCGGAGGCGGGAAACATTCATAGGCCGTGATCTTCGATTCTTGCCCGGAGGCGGGAGACATGGGTCTTCCGGTATCTTTGAGAGATGTGAATGACTAGTGTCCAATATTTTTAGGGCGCAAATATTGCATGGTATGTTCCGGAGAATATCCTAGTAGTAATAATGATCTTCTTCATGGTATGACTTTGAGATATATTCTTGAAACAAATACTTAGCTTGGTAGGAGAGGCAGCAAGTAACTTGTTAAATGTTGGGCGGCTTCAATTGGAATCACGAACGCGTCTTGTAGCCTATTGGCTGATGCTGGGCCAAGCAGTTGATGTTGCAGGCTGACACTGAAGAAGGGTCGAGTCTTGGCGGTTCTGAAGCTGAGGCAAGAGTTGGTAAACTTTGTTGGACCAGACGTCTTTGATATGAAGCGGGCCAATGCGGTTCGAGGAAGCAGATGCGAAGAAGACATCTGAAGGCGGAAGGCGGGCAGAAAGTGGTTGTGGCCTGATGGGTGAAAGGCAATCTGGGGCTTCTGGCATGTTGATAGGGGTGGGCCGACATGGTCTAGGCAGCTTTGCTACAGAGATAAGTTGATGGCGGTACGGATGCGGGCATTCAGTTGGAAGCTGGATGGAAGAGCGGGTCCAACACAATGCCGGCTAGAAACTGGTTGTGAAGCGGGTCGGATGTGTCCGAGTCGTGGTGCGTTTTGGGCTCAATGTCTACCAATGACGGGTTTCGATCTTTCAGGAGCGGTAGCGTATAACAGGTCGCGTTGGAGATAGATCAATCTCATGAAGCGTTCTCTGTTCGAAACAAATACTAGACGGTCGTAGTTGCAACACAGAAGTTTGGTAGTGTAGTGGTATGCACTTCATCTTTCGCAAAGTGGGACATGGTTTGAATCTCGTTGAACGCACTCCTTAATTATTTTTGCTGACAATGTTGTCTGTCTTCCAATTGGGCTTGTTCTAGAGGTGTGGGCCTTGAAGACGACTTGTTAAGCCAGATCCGAGGGCTTTGAAAGCATGGCCGTGTTGAAAGACATTGCGTGGGTTGACTGACGTGGGTCATGTCCGAAATGGAAGGGGCCTGTTGTCGGGCTTGTGCAATGTAGAGCGTCTTGTGGTTGAGAAATTGGAGGCGGTTGGGTAGCAGAAGGTGGGGCGTGTTGTGATTGAAAATGGGCCTGATTGTAGGCTTCTGAAGAGCTAGAGCTGTGCGGTTGGGAGTGTTAAGCATGAATGCGGGCTTGCTTCATATTCCTTTAGGGATTTTCTTTTAATTAACCCCAATCTTTATTTTCTGCTCGTAGGAATTTGGGGGCACTTCTTCCATCAGTCTTTTCCACCGACTACGCTTTTTCTTTTAATTAACCACAATCTTCTTTTCCTTTTGTTATCGCTGATCTTTTCTTGGAAATGGGGAATCGGTTTTGTACGTGGTTTTGAACTTGAGATAGTCCCTAGATATCCCCTCCTCTCGAAACAAGCTGAGAGAATACCAAAATCACAGCCCCACGGTGGGCGCCAAATTGTTCGACCCTGGAAAGTACCAAGGCAAACATAGTAATTATGGAGCTCAGATCTGGATTCTCTCACTTGATCTCTTCGGGAGTGGAAAAACATGTGAGGAGGAGAGGGCGGCTCCAG